GTTTGATGCGGTATTTCTTGAAGATGTACACACCAACAATCACAATCGAACTGAAAATTGCAATATATGACACGACGTGGTGGTGTGTAATCGGATCCAAATTGTGCGGTAGCTCCTGGTCCAACATTGGCAAAAGTTGATATTTTAGGTTTTCTAAGTCCTCATGTCTGCTTGAGTTGTGATTCCTCCTTGTCAATATGGGACGCCTGTATTGTGTTGGTAGTTGTGTTATGACCAGTGACCGTAATACTTGGATTACGGATTCTGCACCGAGGATCGATTGTGGGTAGTCCTGTTTGCTTCAGTTGTAGATTAAACAGCTCGTTGTTGCAAATAGCTGAGAACTGCATCGGTTCTCGAGTTGCGAAAACCCATTGGTGTTTTGCGTGCATTGGTAGCCAGGGAAATAACTTATTCCTATGAGTCATTGCACAGTCAGATGGACTTTGATCATTGAAGATTTGAAATTCACAATTGTAGTCACTCGAAAACATCAATTGCTTGTCATAGCATATCCATTCATCATTTTTTAGCAGATTACAGTTGCGTACATCAGTATTAGTCAGACAAAATGATCCTTATGATTATTGACTGCTATGATCGGAACTTGAATATTGATCGTTGATATGTCAGACCGTGTTATTAGAGGAATTGGCACAAAGTTGTATAGCTCCAGTGGTCGAGATGCTCCGATTGGCACAGTCAATTTGAATATGATATGGTTATCCACCACTGTTCTTCAGCCTTTATCAATTTATAAAACTGAATAATATGGTTGCTACTAGCTGAACTGTAACTGCCCTTCCAATTGCCGTGGCGAGATGAAAAGCGGGTTTATAGTGCTGTGACGAATGTCTGTGAGAACCTTTAGTATCTCTGATAGCACTCTTTGTAGATTGGATGCCAGTAGTGTAAGTTGTGTGGTTATTGCCACATACCACTGGTATGTTTTGCCATGGTCTTCTAATCCTGTCAGTTCTTCCAATTGTTGTTCCCAATGGTCCATTCTTTTGTACAACGCAAGCTCGTTGCGTTTCAGAACGTTTATTGTTGAGTCAATAACCGAGGTTTGGTTTTTGACAAGCACTAGTAGAAATTCCTCATTCATTTTAACTTTGTGAATAGTATTGGACATCTCCTTAGCGTATTCCGAGTTGAGAACTCCGAATAGACTACTGGCTATGTTTCCAACGATGTCTAGAGAGGATCTCCTGGTTCGTTGGTACTTTAACAGCTCGTTTTCGGTTTGGAGCTCTTCCTCTATATGACAGAAGTATTTGTGCAGCGATACACATGCCTGTTTGTTATATGTGTGAGGACATAATTTGTTGAGACTTAGTATGCCAGATCGGAATACATCCATATCGTTCCAATACGGGTCTAAGTCGTAGTAGGCAATTATGTTGCATTCTGCAATTGCTAACTTGGCTGTCCCAATTCGTTCATAGAATAGTGCTGGGAAGCCTATCGGCTGGTGCCTTTTTGCTTCGGCATATTTCATTACATCGCTCGGATGTAGATGCAATAACGTATTATGTTTCTTATTGCAATTAAGGCATCCTCAGTATTTCTGGGGCGATTTTAGTTTAAATCTGTCGCAATGAAAAAGCGGTGTTTGGGCTGATTACAAAATGCACATGTTTTGTCTGTGTCAGCTTTGGCCGATGCGTATGCCTTATATTTCTGCATGTTTCCTTGCTTGCTTCCGATGGCCTCCAAAGCGAGAAAGCGTTGCTCAAGGAAGGATTTCAACTCATTTAATGATTGGAGTTTCCGTGTGTCCAGTATGGACTGTTCATACAAAGTGGGGGTTTGGCGATCCAATTTCTTCGTCAGAATGTGCAGTAAAATTGGATCCCATGAAAGTGTTTATCTTCATATTTTTCAAAGCAGCCATTGTTTCATGAGTGATGTCATGAAACTGTTTTATTGACCAGGCTTCACTCACAACTTGTGGTTGGCCTACGAGTTTTTTCAGTAGCTCTGAACATAGAACTCTTTGGTTGTTAAACCGATCCTGCAGTATTTTCCAAGCTGTCTCATAGTCTCTCAAGTGTGGGGTGTGCAGTAGCTGTTGCATTCATCTTCAAAACAGCACTATACAATACTACACAATAACATTATTATTGCCCGCTTGAAACTGCTCGCCTTGTTGACTAATCGTTCCAATACAAATTGTCGAAAAACTGCCCGATAGCGAAATATCTAGCACGTAGTTTCAGCTGGCACAGCTTCCTTGTTACGGTCCTTCCGTCAACCTTTGCTTTGTTGAGGTTTCTTGGGCTTCTTTGAGCACGACAAGAACTGCTGCCCAACAAAGCTCTCTTCAATAGAGTTCAATAGAGTTGACGTTGGTCGCCTTGTTGACCAATCCTTCCAATCCAGTTGCGTCCTCAAAGTGTGTGATCCTTTATTAAGGATCACGTCGGGGTTAGTCCCTAGTAATAAACTAGTAGCTGAGAATTTTACAATCGGTACTTGAACCAAGTGTAATTCGGAGGAGCTGAAAGGGAATGTGAGATCATAAGAGCAGGAGTGTTATTTTTGTTCTGTCTGTTTATTGATTGAAATGCAAGGGTTTATACACAAAATTGAGAATGTGCGTAGGTCTAATTATTACTAATAAGTGATTCTTAAAATATATCGTCGCTGGGGTACCATATGTAGCTAACTGAGTCGGTGCGTGCATATCCCGCGTAGGTTATATTGTGCACATGTGCAGCTATTATAAATCGGCTTGACTTTACGTATGCGGACAAGCGCCCCATATATTTAATAGAACAAGAAATGTCGACACTCCAACAGCGGAATTTGACACTATTACAGTACTACGACGAGGTAGAAAAGAAACTTACGCTACTAACGAACAAAACGATCATGACCTACGACAATACCATAGCTGTCGCACTGAACGAAAAGTAAGACCGGAAGATCTTCCTTCCGGTTTGGCTCTAGCCCAAGAGGAACGAACAGAGGCAACAAGTCAGAGACAGGATGCCGGCAGGGGAAAACGGTAATAGCCCACATTGGAAAATCCACATTTTAGTAAACGACAGGCACCTCCTAACGGACCTCCCCAGAGACAAGAACAACTTCAACCTATGGCCGTAGACAATTCATCAAAGTTTAGACAAATCATGCAGTATCAAAACCAGGGTAATACTAACAACCATGGACAGGCTAACAAGAGATCAAGCAGTGGCACTACAAGGTTTACGGGACCGACCCATCAAAGAATGAATCATTTGACCCAAGATGACTCTCCACCTGACCAATACACTTTTGAATACCAGACTGAGGCAAGCCTAGAGGTAGATGACATTAACGATGACCTTTTAGTGTACGACCAGGTTAATTTTTTATGCATAACTCCCTTCTACCAGACTTACATTTACGAGCATAATACTCAAATATTTTACAAGCCAGGGAAGAAGAAATAGAAGAAAATTACGTTGCAGATGCACTGTCACGACAAAACATCCACGCTCTAGTGGAAGATGCACCGATATTGCAACGATACATAGGGAGTTATCACTCACTTGCACTGTTGAATCTACAGACAAACCAGCCAACTGTTTTCGGAACCAAATAGTAATAGAAGAAAGTAAAAGTACTTAAGTAATGCAAAACGTATGGTAACCGATATTTTAGATAAAAGCGAACAGAAAGAAATAGAGTTACAGAGCACAATAGAGCATAGGGCCGCTCAGGAAAACGGAAAACAGATTCTCCAAGATTATTTTTTTCCCAAAATGACCCAACTCGCAAACGAAGTGGTTGCAAATTGCAAAATTTGTCAAAAAGATAAAAGATATATTGCACGTTGACATATTTTCAACTGACAAGAAATATTTCCTCACTTGTATAGACAAGCTTTCAAGGTTTTCGATTGTCCAACCTATTGCCTCCAGAACAATAATAGACATACAATCAGCAATCTTAGAGCTCATGAACTTCTACAGGTACACTAAAACAATATATTGCGATAACGAACCTTCCATAAAATCCGAAACAATAAAATCAGTTCTAAACAGTGGAAGCAGACTTGGGGACCACAGCCTTAATTAAAGGGAGGGTGGTTCATAAAGATAATATAAGGTAACTATAATATGGTTTTTCGACACTCGACTAATTTAACAATGTACGCGAAAATAATGGGTGAAACAGAGAAATTGAGGAACCATTTTCCTCAATCACACATGAGACAGATACTAGACTCGGGCATACGACACACGAGAACACTCTTACCAACAATATACATTCACCATCGGCACGCCAGAAGCATTAATATAGTAGGCACTGTTTTAAAGGTAGTAGCTGGGACTTTGACGAAACTGATACAACAGAAGCTCATTAAATTTACAAATTGGCAGGTAAATATTAATACGAAAACGCAAAAGCAGTTAAATAAGGTAACAGACGCAGTAAACATGCAAATAAAGGATTCAAATAATAGCCAAATAAACACAGAACACAAATACAAAATTTTGCTCTCAAGAAATAGATTAATTTCGGAACTTGAAACTTTAGTTTTTACATTTAATACATTAAATACGTCCTCAGTCGTATAATAATAAATAAATAATCACACTGAAGGAGGCGTGGCAGACCCCACAAAGTATATATATTATTGATCTTGTGACAATCCGAGTCGATATAGCCATGTCCGTCCGCCTGTATCAGCGCAAGGATCTCGGAAGGTACAAGAGGTGGAATTACCAAACTTGGTATCTATCTGGTTATTTGGTTTCCCTAAGCCCTGGGCACATCGTTTGTTTTTCCATTCCGATACCTCACCCCCCCCCCCCCCCACCCTTCACGCCCACGGAATTCGTGTTTTTCCCATTATTCTTGTAATTTTTTGAATTTTGTACTCAGATCGGAATCGAATTTTCCAGTCGAATCGAACTTCACAGTGTAAAAGGAAACTTGCGTTCAAATTTCAGCCTCCTAGCGCAGATGTAGTAGTTTTCGTCTCTTCAACATAAACGATAATGCAATACAGCTTAATAATTTTGTTTATTGATGTTTTTTTTATTGATAAATGTAATTAAATCGTAGTTCTTTAAATCGCATTATAATAATCCGAATAATAGCAGTTGGTTAATTTGTATTGTAGTAACCGCTAGCCATAATTCATATTTGTACTATGGGCAGCCTGGTAAGAGTTGGATATGTTTTTATGCTGTTGTTGAGAATTAGACTGATGCGTCTGTGAACTATAGCTTTTAAACAAGGACTCGTCTTTAACTAAATAATTTTCATGCCACCATTCAACAAAATCGTCAATTAACACAGGCCAAGCACCCTCAGAGTCGTAGTTGCTCATCTTATCATCAATGACCGTTGCAAAATCCAAGAGTAAATTCCAAGTGTCACGAGATATAGCCCGCTTATGTTTTTCTTCTAAAAACTTGCACCAAATATCCAGAAATTTAAAACGACCATTTAACACGATGCACCAGTAAGCAATAGCCATGTCCAAATCGATTCCTTTTTGACCTGGATCCTTAGCGTAGTTAAATGTAAAATGATAGAACTCTTTAAATTTGCCAGCGTCACTTAATTCCTGCTCTAACATTGGGAGCTTAGACTTCAGCTTCTCAATACTGTCCACACCCACATCACACATGCCTGTTATAAACTCGTCTCGGGAAAACTCACACTGAACCTCTGCGTGAAATTTCCAGGCTATTATAAGCACTAATTTTGAGTCAGGACTGAGCTCAAGATCCTCTAGAAATCGAATCACTCCTTGAGAATTGATCTTTTGAGGGTCGCACGGGTCCCGATATCTTGTAAACAAATGTTCTATTTTTTTTTTATCAAGTTCTCGGTAATAGTCCGGATCTTGATAAAAGTTATCACACGCCAGCTCAATTTTCCAGTCGTTTTTCTGAAGACAGAAGATTGCAGTCTGCTCTCCTGTTTGTGTGAGTGAAATAAATTTTTTGACTTTGTCACGGTGCGTTGATTTAAGTTTGTTCTGTAAAAAAACTCATATGAGTATAAATTTTCATTGAATTGTGCCGTCACTATAGATGCATGTTCTAAATATTTCAAATAATATACATATGTATGTACATATTGCGTATTTCATGTCAAAAAATTTTAAAGGACATGGTATATATTTAGATACAAACTATACAAATGTACTTTTATACACACATGCAATATGTATGTATGTATGTATGTACATATGTATGCGTGCATATACACACAAGTCGTACGTAATTAGGCCCTTTGTCAACATGAAACCCGTGCACATTTATTTTTGCATCTACACACATGTGCGTATTTATAAATATGTACACAATCCTGTGTTAAGGCTTAATTATTAAAAATTACTCTTTGTTACTATTTCGAACATACAAACGCAATTACATCCGTACAAAAATATACACATATGTACATACATACATACAAATGTAGATGGTACACTACATTAAAGGGAGTAAAAACTAAAGCACATATAACGCATATAATGTATATACATTCTATGAAATTCGGTACTTTAGATTTTAAAATGAGACCGACCTACCATTGTTTCTTGGCGTTAAGCACTTTAAATAAAACCCAGTTTGGTTGAGTATTTTTCCTCAGTTCGACGACAAACACACGCAGTTTGGCAGCACTGCTAAGTTATATGAGTTTCACTTGAAAGTTATCATTGGCCACATTTTATATTTCAACCTACCACCACTAATTGACCTTTTGGGCAATGTTCCCACTTTGGGTTTTTTCCCGACAAATCTGGATGTTTGCGCTGTACTTATTTGTTGCTCAGCAATTGCGCAGATTGACCACTTTAACAACTTTTGCACTACCTAATTTTAAGACGAATATTATGCGAATATTATATTAAATGATCACTCAGTTAATTACAAAACATTATAAAAAACATTTCTCTAAGCATTTTTTGCAAAACGAATTGCAGCTTTTTACGCTTCGTTGTCAAAATGTTTAGTTTTATTTTAATCTTCACACAAGAAACATTTTTCTTTGTAAAAAGTTGGCAGCACTGCTTGCGAACCATATATTAGTAACAATGGCGTAGGCGGGAGGGGGACAGGGGGGCCGTTGCCTCCATACAAAAAATTTTGCCATATAAACTCGACCACACGTTCATTATTATGACGCATTATTTCGCCTTAAAATGGTTTTGAGTTGGATTTGTTGAAGTTTTTTCATTGATGAACAGTTATACTTACATATACATATGTATATAAAGGAGGGCGCAGTACTTTGCAAAAATTATAAATTACAATTATCGATACCGCATTGTAAAATTTGGGTTCGAAATTCCAAGAATTACGGGAGTTATGGAAGATCACTGTGTGGGAGAGGGAAAAGGGAACAAAATTCCAAAATACACATTTTCTGCGTATTCACTAAAGGCATTTTGGACTAAAATTTTGTGCTCCTAGGTCTTATATTCTCGGAGATTTACGTGAATATACGAACGGCGTTTCCAAATATCCCCCATAATGGGAAGTAAGGGGCAAAATCAATCAAAATCACACATAAGGCATCTTTGTGCAAAATTTGGTGTCTCTGTCTCTTATAGTCAGTGCTGCCAACTTTTTAAAGAAAAAAAAGCTGTTTTTGTCATGAAGGCGAGTGAAAAAAAGCAAAAAATTTTTGCAAAATAGCGTAATAAAAAGCTAAATTTATTTTTACAAGAAATGCTTAAAAAATACATTCCAATACATTTTTCTATCATCTTGGTGAACATTTTAAATGATATTTACGCATTTATACATTATATACATTATATACATAATTAGTAATTGTAAGTCACTTTTTGCATAAAAATAACTCAATAAACTACCATCATTAACCACACATACGCAAATATTGATAAAAAATAATGATAAATCTGCTTCGTTTTTACATAAATGTTGGCAAAATTACAAAAAGCGGAAAAAAAGCTAAATGTATTTTTAAAAAGCCAGAATTCCCGCTTCCCGCAATTTCGAATATTTTCCCGCAATCTCATTTCAAAAACAACCAGATTTGACGGGAAAAAAGCCAAATTGGCAACACTGCTTATAGTCTCAGAGGTCCAGGTATTCATACGGACGGACAGACAGACAGGCCTAGATCGACTCGCCTTGTCATGCTGATCAGGAATATATAGTCTGTCAACTAATTGTTTGCAAAATGAAATATGTCACAAAAATTCAACTTTAACATAATTATTTATTAGGAAAGGCACTTGTTTTCATGTTCAGCCTTCCACAATATGTTTCATAAAGGTATTCTTAAATCAAATATTTAACAAAATTAATAAAAATACAAACAGAAACATAAAAATTCATAAAAAACAAAAAAAGCAGCAAATATTAGCTGTATATTAATTGTTTGCAAAATGCAAACATTTATCATAAAGTGGCGATATCTTTGTAACAAACAGCTATAATTGCCTAATATTTTGTAATCCCGACGAGAAAGCTTTGGGGGTCTGCCTTGAGAGCTGTTTAATATAAACTGTTCTAAGCTTAATTTGAAATGTTTCCGCCAATTCTTTGGGTGTTATAATGAAAAAACACTAATTGAATCAAATTATCATCAGTGCGTTTGCCAGGCAGTGCAAAAATCCTCAAAGTAACTGATATGTGACCGAACTGACGCAAATTTTACAAGGAATGGGTGCAACGAAGACTAGAAAAAACAATGCGACAGGTCGTTTTTAATTTTGCTGTCCCGTTACTTTTTCTATGGTCTTCTTTCAACCAGTGTTTACATTTTGCAAAGAATTAATTGACAGTGTCGTAAATGTCGTTGTTTTGTTTTCTTCATTTCTTTTACGTTTTTAATGGAAATTCGTCTCTTTTTTTTGACATACCCATAGCTTATACATATCTTAATAATAATTGTTAAATAAAATATTCCCAAATAATGCCATTATTTATAAATTATATGTTAAAGTTGAAATTTTGTGACAAATTTCATTTTGCAAACAATTAGTTGACAGACTGTGTGTATATACTGTCACATTTTTCACCTGCCGCAAACCTAATATAGTCTTGTACTGTATAAAAAACGATTCTTCGCAAAAATATGAACATCGATATAAACAACGATACATCGTTGAAGTAATCATCAATGTATCGATGGTTTTTACATCACTACACTGTGGGCTATTTATTGATTATTATTTGTTGGGTTTCACTGTGCAAAAAGTTGTGCGTAGAATAAACTGAGTCTCGTTGAAAGTGTGCTATATGAAAAACAGCTTATTTTATTTTCGGCTTAAATTCAGGCGATAAATCAAATTTAAGACGATGGGAGATAATGAGCAGAAAGCGTTACAGCTGATGGCTGAGGCCGAAAAGAAACTGACTCAGAAAGGTTTTCTTGGTTCCCTTTTTGGGTAAGTAATTGTAATTGCGTACCAATGTATGTATATATTTACTTTACCCAATGCAACATTTGTCCATGTAAAAACATATCGGTGAAATATTTGTACTTTAGTTATGTACATACATTTATGTAAATATGTATGTTCGTTATATGTATAATTTGTTGTTGTTGGGTGTTTGTAATTTACGCTATAAATGTTCGCGTAATACATATGTATGTATGTATGTATGTATGTACATATATATGTACATATGTACGTACCTGCCCCGTACTAACACATCTTTCCGTACTGTTGGTATGTAAATAGTACATATATATATGTACATACTTGCATACATACATACATATATGAAACAACGAAAATAAACAAATGTCGGATACCCCACATTGTAATACCCTATTTGTAAAATAATTATATAAATACAACGGTGGACAAAGGTATTTTGACATTAGAAAAATAAGATTGTTATGGAGATTTTTTATAATTTATTGAGTTCACAAATTTTAAAGACTTTTTAATTTATAAAGAATATATTAAGTTTCTTAAATTCAATAAATGATAATTGTTCATATTACAGTTTCGAAACTAAAGTCAATATTTTATAACTGTTGGTGGACAAAAGTATTTTGACAATTCAATGTTGGTTAACTAAAAGAGGGAAAAAGTTAGTACATATTGGTAAAAAATAACAAAAATATTATTAAAAATTAAACTCTTCTTTCATATCAATGACCTTTTGTAAGCATACAGGAATTGATTTTACGATATTTTTTAATGTTTCTAATAAAATATTGTGCCGAAGTCCTTGAACTTTAGCAGTCGTCTCGCACGTCCTTGATAAGTTTGAACTTCGTTTTCTTTTTATATAAGCCCACACATTATCTATTATGTTGAGATCGGTGCTTTTAGGTGACCAATTTGATGTATTGACTTCGACACTCCCCAAAAATTCAGTTTTAATATGGGCCTTGTGGCATGGAGCACCCAAGCCATTGAAGCACATGAACCCCAAGAACATTACCAATCCTCGACCATGTAATCCCCATTCGCACATGGCCCTAATTTCTTGGCAAATATTCTTTGGCAACTTCCAATAAATCTTTTCCTTCGATCCATGATATTCAAAAGAGCTTTAATTTGTCCATAATACTTGTTCCCAAAACGATTGCCACTTGTTTTTTCGAATTTGGCGAATAATAAACAGTTTAGATTATTTTTTTATTGGAATTAAAGGATTTGGACGAGCTACATATGTTAAAAATGTGCCTCCTTTAGCCGTCTTTGGGCTGTTTTTCTACTTATTGATATTATTGATATTGACACGATACACCAAAAGGGTGTATTCATCACATTTTCTTTAAGTTTCCTCAATATTATGCGGCCTTCTATAGGCTTTGTTTTGCGTGATCTTCCCGATCTGAGCTTATTTTTGAAGGAATAATACTTCTTCTTTTTGTTAATTTGTAATAAATTGTTTGTCTAGGCATGTTCTATTATTTGCTTAGGTATTCTACAGAAATATTTGCTTTATACTTAGTGACCATTTCACTTCTAATTAATTCACTTATTTAACGTGTTTTGCCTATAATTTAACAAAAATTACGATCAAACAGTGATTATTATTAATAAAAATGAGAAAGCGAATCCTTGAAAATGTATATGAAAAGCAATGTCAAAATACTTTTGTCCAGCCAAAAAATTACAATCTACAAGTACTACGCAGATAATCATAGAAAATACATGTGTTACGTTATCAGTGCGATCTTTTTTTCTCTTAAAGCTTTTAATATATTCCTTCTCTTAAATATTGAATGGATACCGTTACTATTCGAAATTTGCAGAAATAAGCGGTTTTACATTTTGTAATGTGTTGTCAAAATAATTTTGTACACTGTTGTATAAACCAAGAATAGAATGCTGAAGTCGGGCGGACCCAACTCTTAAATACCCAGTACCCTATCACACAAAAAAAAAATTGTATACCCTACATCCAAAGGGTAAAAGAGTATACTAATTTGTTTAGTGCGAATATATGTATGTAGCACAGAGAAGGAGGCGTGACAGACACCACAAATTATATACAGCGAAAACTCTCTTGGCCGGACAATCACGGTCGGGCAATTTTTGTCCGCCCAAGGGGATACTTAAATACTTTATACACCATCGGTGTTTTTAGAAAAAGTGTACCCCGAAGAGAGTGTCCGGATAAAAGAGGTGTCCGGATAAAAGAGGTGTCCATTAAGGGAGTTTTTACTGTACATATATTCTTGATAAGGAAGAATGACCTGATGAGTGAATATACAGCTGTTGACAACTAATTAACAACGACTAGAATTGAAGGGATTTTTCTACTCTCATAATAACTACAGTTGGTCTAACGGTACCTAATCACCACTTATCTCTTATTTAGCTATTCCTTTTTATAAATAGGTCGCAGTTTTAATATGAACAGCAACGTTTAATTATTAATTTCGATTTTTAAGTTGGTTAAAATTTTAAAAAAGGTTAACATTTTTGCATTTTCGGTACATTTTTATACAAATCAAGTAGGTTTTTGTAGATTATGGTTCTGAGAACGCATTTTAATTAAATTTGATCAATATAAAATATATTCAATCATGGGTAAAGGTAACAGATGTACCCCGGCCATGCGTAAGGCAATTGTTGAGCTTTCGGACACTGGTATGTCCTATCAGGCAGTATCAACAGAGCAAAGTTGCTTAAAAATGATGGTTTTTAATGATCTTAAGCATTTGCAAAAGTATGACACAACAGATAATATTCCACGCAAAAAGAGACCACCCAAAACAGCTTGAATTTTGGAATTTTGGGAGAGGTAAAATCGATAAAAATTTTAATTTAATTTATGTGTGTCTGTCTGTCCGTCCGTATGAACATCTAGTCACTGAGATGACTATAAAAGATAGAGACACCAAATTTTGCACAAAAATGCCTTATGTGTGTACGCTATACGAGTTTGTTTAATTTTTTTTGATTTTCCGCCCACTTCTAACCTATATCTCCGAGACTGTAAGACCTAGGGATACCAAGATGCCTTATATGAATACGCAGAAAATGGAATTTTGGAATTTCCCTCCCCCTCCCCCGCAATTAGTAATTTTCCATAGCTCACGTAATTCTAAGAATTTTGGACTCAAATTTGGCAAATACTTCTAGTTAATGATTATAAGTCCATATGCCAAGTCATGATAGGGAAGTTCTAGCCATATATTGGTTTTCTCTGCTTAAGCACTACCCGCAGCTGTTGCTGTTGCATCCAGTGCTGTCATAATTTTTGATCAAACAGCTAGATTGCCAAAAAAAAAAAATAAAATAAAGCTAAAAAAAGCTAAATCCAAGGCAAAATAAGCTAAATAAAATAAGCCTGCTTTAAAAACACTATTTTCTTGGTTAAATTTAAGGAAATACATATCTGTTTTAATGTTTTCATATTAATTCTATATTCTTAATTCATAATTTATAATTATAATATGAGATTCTTATAAAAAAAAATAGTAGAAAATTCACATTAAAATCAAGCTAAAAATTCTACAGTTGTTCATCTAAACTCACAGCCCCTTCGTCAGCATAATTTGGTGTTACGATTAAGTCCGTATCTTAAATTGAAAATTAATTAATATAATTATAATATAATATTTTTTTTTTTTTTTGCTCTCAAAAACCTAACTTAAGCTTAAAATTGAGTTAAGCGTATTTAAATTTATCCCATTTCTTAATTTGGATTTAAGTAAGATCACCTGGCTGAAGACCCGCTCCACTTCGCTAACACTTTGTTTATACACTTTAGCCATATCTTAATGCAGCGAAGAAGAATAAACCGTCTTATGCTAGAGCCTGGAGGTGATTTTTGATAGATTTTATTATCGAAAGTCGTTTATCACTGCTTATATTCATGATTTTAAGTGTTGACAAAGGTAAGGAAAAAATATATATGGTGAAAAATAAAGTAAAGCTAGAAAAAGGCTAAACAAATTTTTTTCATGCTGAAATTCCCGCAACCCCCTATTTTCGAATTTTTCCCGCACTGACATTAAAAAAAAAACAGATTTACCGGGAAAAAAGCTAAAATGGCAGCACTGGTTGCATTTGCTTTCGTTGAACTTGGTGCTAGAGCATGATAAATATCGATAGTAGAGTCCATCGATGTTTTCGATAATTTTGTATGAATCCATCGATACTATCTTGATTAACCCTTACATTGACGCCGTAGTAAATACTGATAATAGCTTTAGTTTTATGTGTGTAACTCCCTGTGATGTCCTGAGCTCTGTTCTTAAAATTAAGTCGAACGCCATTGTATGGAGTATGGATAATATGCATCCAAAATTTCTTAAATTAATTCTGCCCAAAATAATTAATCACATAACGCACATATGTAACACTGCGCTTACGACTTCGTGTTTTCCCGATACTTGGAAATTTTCCAAAGTAATTCCCGTTCACAAGGGTAAGGATGAATACACACCAATACCAATTCTGCCATTTCTATCCAAGGTTTTCGAAAATATTATGGCTATTCAAATCAATAAATACAACATTCATTACTGTGCAATAAGCAATCTGGTTTTCGCAAATTTAGAAGTTGTGCTACTGCCATACTAGACGTTACAGAAAATATTAGAGAGCAACTTGACGATAGTAATGTTACATGTTTAGTATCTTAAGTACCAAGTTACACAAATTCTTTAATTTTACAAGCAGTGCTGTAAAATTAATATCAACCTATTTACATGGACGAAGCCAAGCTTTGACAACCGATAGTGCTATATCAACATTTCTAGTTGTCCGTTACGTAGTATAAATGAGTGTGTGAATTTATGTAATGATGTACTGTAAAATGTTAGTAAATGTGCTAAGTGCAATGGCTTGTCACTAAATCCTGGTAAATCGAAATGCATTATAATATATAAAAAGTTACTGAGTACGGAAAATTTGCCTAAGTAATCACTCAATAACGCACAAATTGAATACGTAGATCATATCCTAAA